ATGAAAGTTGCTCCACTCGCTGAGATCTTAATATTTATGAAGTTTGAGAATTTTTGGAAATAGTTGGATTTTCCGGTGAGTCGGGGCGGCCGACCGCCACCCGCGGCGGCGCGTGGCCAGTGGGCCGCCAATGCTATTTTTAGGCTATGTCAAATGTCTTGAATTCAGTTTTGTCATTTGAACAACGTAGGTTGATAGTTGGAACCTAAATTCGTTACGATATGTTACTTGATAAAAATGTGAATCGACGATCCAACCGTTGGATCGTCACCAAAATTGGATACATTATAATACGTAATATTTAAAGATCATAGGAATTTATGGATCGGGAATCTTACCTACGGATCTTCCTGAATTGGATTTGTAAGTTAGTAAAATAAATGTTCACGGCCACTTGTTTTAGGTAATTGGCGGAGATCTGACCGTTGGATCATAATGAAATTTTAATATGTTATTCTAGAAACATATTGTGGATCGTTGGGAGTTGCGGATTGGAAATCTGATATGCGGATCTTCCGGGTCAAGTTATACAGGGTTGTAAACCCTACCGTCGATCTTTGATCGACGGTTGACTTGTGGTCAATGGGTCTCAAGCTATTTTAGAATGTCGTTGAGGTTGTGTTTTATGTGAATTACATATTCTACGGATAAGAGTTTTGAGATGTGATTTGATAATTGGTCACAGGGACCAATCATTCAGGACGCCTCGATGCGTGCGCTAGAGAATCATAGCGTAGACTCCAGGTGAGTACATCTTTTCCTTTTTATCGTACATATTATTGAGAGTTCTATCGACACTTTTAAATTGATTAGGCATATTACTTTCATATATAATTATTGTGAATGCTTGAAGTACTATATGAACTACGAATGGCTTGATCCCTGTTTAGGGTACGTAGGTAGTCTAACGATACGTTAGATGCAGCCATAAAATATTTGAGACAAAAGCCTTGCTTGGGAAATTGAGTAATGCGAAGGAAATTGGTAAAGGCAAGTTTTAGTTTTATGAATTAGTTAGCTAAATTAGTGTTAATTGGGTCGTCATGGATAATTATCCCTGAAAATAAGTAGTTTGGGAGTAGGGCGTTATTGATTGTACACTTCTCACTGTATTGTTTGTAATTGAACATGCTACGACATGGTTGAGTATTAGATTGCATCATGGTATATCCATATGTATATTACTTGCATATAATTATTGGGAATGCTTTTAAGTGCCAAGGTGAACTCAGGACACCCAGGTAAGTTCAGGTGAATTTATGGTATTAGTTTAATCGATTGAGTTATAGCATGACTACAATTATGTGTTAGGCAACTTCGATACTATCGTACTGGTTGCCATGAGTTCCACATGTTATATTGAGATGCATTGAGAGCTCATAAACCTGCACCCCGGTGTTAGTGCTCTCGCCCGTGGCCAGGGCACAGTCCTTCACGTGATGTTCACCTCCTGCACCTTACGCTCACCTTGGATTCAAGGTAGGTGCACAGTCTTATCATACAGACCACTTTAGGTGGTTCCGACTTGTAGGTGACCCACGATTATTCACCCAGTCTTCACGTGATCGTAGCACTTGAGCGTATTTATTTACACCCAGTCCTGTCATACAAACCACTTTAGGTGGTTCCGACTCGTGTGCAGGTATACTTATTGAGCTATTGGCTAGCCATGATTGATGAGATGTGGATAAGTCGTATAGGTCATTATAGGTGACTCCGACTTATATGCTAGCCATGATTGATGAGATGTGGATAAGTCGTACAGGTCACTATAGGTGACTCCGACTTATATGAGATGTGGATAAGTCGTACAGGTCACTATAGGTGACTCCGACTTATATGTTAGCCAGGATTGATGAGATATGGATAAGTCGTACAGGTCACTATAGGTGACTCCGACTTATATGCTAGCCATGATTGATGAGATATGGATAAGTTGTACAAGTCATTTTAGATGACTCTGACTGATATATCACTTTATATTGATTTAGTTCATTTAGCCTACTTATTAATGTATGGTGGAGTTGATGGCAAACTGTGGTTTTGGTCATTTCTGAGTATGGTTTGGATATATGTATATATGTTGTACTGTCTTATGGAAAACGATACGGGTTTTACATTTAGGGGCATTACTTTTAGAGAGGTAATAACTTTGGGAAGCTTGGTTTTATTGCTTACTCACACCTTCTGTTTGGTGCCCTCCATGTTTTAGCTGCTGAGTTTGTATCGACAAGAATCTGTGGCAAATCTTAGTATTGATGGATAATTCTGAGGGTATGATTCTTACCCACACTATTGTACCTTACTTATGCTCTGACATCGCGTGTGAAATGGGTTCGCTCCCACTCGTAGCGCACTCTGGTACTTAGACACTTTTAGATTCAAATTTATTCACTTTTTATACACTATCACATTTTATGGCTTCGTCATCTTCCAGGTGTCGGCCAGCACAGCTCGATTCAGGGTGCAAGTAGACTTTTTGGGTCGGGGTGTGTCAATGCCAATAATTGAAATAATAGTTTACGGATGATATTTTTAACTGTTACCAATGAAGGTAAATATAATTTTGGTAAGTATTATTGGGTTACAAAAATTGTTTAGAAAACATTTCTATCAAAGCATTTCTGTCAATTTCATGGTTACCTGCAAGGAATTTAAATTAATTTGGCAAATTCCTTGATGATGAGAATCATCATTCCTGTAGCAGTGTTATTAAGAGAAGGACCGATGAATTCCTTGCAAATTTATTGGGTGCTAAGTATTATTGGATCGAGAACATGGTTTGTGTTAATTTTACATATATAAAATAAATGGTTAAACGGTTACCTGTTTATAACCGCGGTTAATACCCATAATCGCCCATTTAAATTTCGCAGGTAAACGGTTATACCCATAATCGTTTATTTTTCTAAATGGTTACCCATAATCGTAACCGTTTAATTTAAACGGGCGGGTAACTGCGGTTACCCATAACCAATGAGTATTTGCCCTCCCCAGTCGAGGCAAGTGTTGGACACTTTGTCCTTAAGACAAGTTTATGTCCTACTACGGTGATCATGGTTGTTCGGCGCATGTCTCCCAAGATACAACAACCACGCCCTTGTAATAGTAGCACTTCAAATCACAAGGCTCCATGAACCACAATTGTGTTGAAAACTCTCTCATATGGACTTAATGAGACTCTCTAATATTTAGTGCACTCTATGTATGATTATGTTAACAATGAAAAGTTATTTTGTGATTATAAGGTGCTTTCTTATTTATTGAATGTGAGATACATCTTTAGAAAGCATGTAATTATTCATGAAGATTCAAAAGTTTCAACTCTTCATTTAAGTAGATATATCTTTTTACCAAAAATCTTCACTTCTAATTTTCATTTAATTAATAAATTTAATATAATAATAATATTATTAAATTTTCCAACATTGTTGTGGGTGTGGCAGAGCAGCTTGCTGCTGCTGTGGGTGCAACGATTGGATTATGTGGTTGTGGAGCTTGAGCAGCCATGAGTGCATGGGCAGCAGGTGTTGGATTCATGCGAGCAGCCTGGGCTTCATAAGTCAGAATTTGTTGACGCAGGTCGGAGAAGGAAGGCAAAGTGGCCGTATTAAGAATTGACATGACAAACATCACATAGTCTACTCCTAGACCACAAAGAATGGACATCACAAGATCACTGTCAGAGACCTTTTGATGAATGGAGGCAAGACCATCAGCAATTGACTTGGCCTCCTGAAGATACCCATGGAGTGGGCGACTGCCTTTTTGAAGGTTAAGAAGACGAAAGCGTAGGTTAGCAGCGTTGGCAACAGAAACTTGAGATAAGTGTTGATGGCAAGGGTGGGCATAAAAACTGTCGGAAAATAGAATCGAATCGTGACAAAAAAAACTACGTTGACCAAAAAAGTCAAAACTGAAACAACTGAACCGAAACGTTTCAAACGGTTTCGGTTTGGAAATATTAAGAATCGGAGGAACCGGAATGAACCCTTTTTAATATAAATTATTAGTTTATTATTATTATTATTATATAAACTAGCATATGGGCATACACAAAGAGTGTGAGAAATTTTTTTTTTTTTATTTTTTTTATTTTTTGAATAGAAGGAGAGAGAGGAAGAGAGTGATAGAGAATGTGGGAGTAAGAAGTTTTTTTTAGTTTTTATTTTATTTTATTTTATTTTTATTTTTTTAATTAGAGATATGTTAGGATTACATGTAGGTGAGGTTTTGAAAAAAAACAGCAAAATTTGGTTGTGTGAAATTACATTTCTGTCCCATATTTCTTATTCATGTTCTGTTTTAATTAGAGGGTTAAACTGGTAATTTCATAGGGTTTTGGTTGACAATGAGTGTTTTATTATTTAGTAGAGATAAGACATTTTTCAAAGAAGACCATGTGCATAAGCCCAATATTTTTCTTCACTTCTCTCCCCCTCTTTTGTTGTTTTATAACTTTTCTCCCCCTACATTATTTTTCTTCATTCTTTTCCAGTATATTATGTATTATGTACATTTTAGTTTTAGTTTAAGATCTACACTTTGGTCTTGATATGAGCCTTTCTATTTATATTTATATGCACACTTTCTATCTTTCGGTCACAAATCTTGTAGATCTAGTAGTGAAAACTCAAATTTACTTGAATTTGTGATTGAAATATGTGTTTGGTATTAGAAGGAGAAAATTAGAAGAAACATATGTATAATTTTGATTAAAACCGTAAACCGGCATGAACTGAACCGGAACCGTCATGAACCGAACCGTATGGTTTTAGTAATAAATTTAAGCAGAACCGCACCTAACCGACCCGTTGAAAATTTTCGATTTCGGTTCCATTCTGAGGGTGGAACCAGGCTGAACCAGACCGTGACCACCCCTAGTTGATGGAGACACTCCCAAATAGCTTGGGAGGAGTCGAGACCAACCATCATCAAGAGAACATTCTCAGTGTTGAACTATCTCACATCGACTGTATCAATGACAAAAGAATAGTTTAAATACCCTAATCTCACTCCAACTAATACCGATGTCTTTGGTGATAAAACCGCACACCTGACGGATTGTGCAGGTGGTAGTTCCTAAGTTGGAGACAATATCGGTGTTGTTGTAAGTGGGCCTTTGGCCTGTCTCTTTGATAATTCTATATGGTATCAGAGCTATGGAGCGTGTGGATCTACACATTTCCTTTAAGATAGATAACATAATTTGTTCAAAAAAAAAAAAAAAAAAATTACCTAACACTCGTTTATTCCAATGTTGGGCCTAACAAATGGGCTTTCATCCCTCTAAAAACAGGCCGAAACAAGGCCCTGCTACTATGTCCCAATCCGACCGACAACAATATCGTCCCAGAAGATTTTGAAACGACACCGCATTCAGGAAGCAAGATAAATCCCGCTCCGTTCCCTCTCTCCATCCCTCTTTTCGTTTCCAGGGTTTACGAAACCGTAACGAGCAGTCACAGAAACCGAAACTTCGAATCCAAGAAAACATGGGAGGCAAGTGCCCGCATAGAAGCGTCAAGAAACGAAGATACTCTCACAAGACTCACCGCCGCGCCAAATTCGAAATCAAAGATATCCTTTTTTTTCTTCACTGCAATTGTTATTTATTTATTTATTTTTTTTGGTTCAATTTGTAGAATTTTGATTTGGTTCCTTGACGGAGAATTTGATCACGTAACGACATGGTGTATGATGGTCTGAAGAAGGCAGAGGAGGGGGCGAAGCCATTGCCTCAGGATCAGGACCTTCCTGGGATGGGCCAATACTACTGCCTACACTGCGAGTAAGATTTTGTGTACTTTTAGTTTTGAATTTTGGTGGAAATTTTTATCTGCGTCTGTTTGGTTGCTGAGAAAAAGAATGGAAAGTTAGCCATCGTCGAGACTCATTTGTGTTACTAGTTTGTTTTAGTTGGGTTTGTATAATTTGCTGAGTGAGCAACTCGGTTTTGGAATTGCAGCCGATACTTTAACAATGCGCTGGTGAGGGACGATCATTTCAAGACAAGGCGTCACAAGAAGCGTGTGAAGATAATGATGGGGGATGCACCTCACACTCAGCTGGACGCTGATTTAGCTGCTGGGATGGGTATGCCAGATAATGGTCCCAAGCTTATGTCTTTTTGAGCTTTCCGTTTTTGTTTTATTTTATGTACCTCGTAGCGGAAGATACATGATACATGCTTTGTGAGGTCTAGTCTCTGAATTTTGTGCATCGTTCATCGAATGCCTGACAGGGGAATAGGAATGTTTTACGTGAAAATGGCTGCTGAAGTACTTGCGTAGGTTGTACAATCCCATATAGTAATATTCTTTCTTGATTACAATGGAAGGAATTCACATTTTTTGGGAAATGATAGAAGTGGGTTGGTGCAGACGAAATCCTGTAACTCCACTTTAGTAGGAGAAGTACTACTAGATTACAGAGACCACCAAAGGAAACTAGAAGATATAAACAGAGATTTTGAAAGAAAAAGGATTTTAGGTTTCCTGATTGTTGGGACTGCAGTAATGTTGATGAACGTCCTATTGAGCATTAAGCTAGACTTTTTAATTGAAATTCTTCTACCAACAGAAAGAGGGGTGACTTGCGTGCATACTTGCTAGAGTAAGAGTTAGTTCCTACTTCCCTGTATTGATAATTGTTTGATCGGGCTACTCAAGAAGTTAAGTCAACCAGGGTGGTGTTTAGACATTGAAGATTAGATCAATATACTCTTTATCAACTGGAGTTGCAACATCGTATGCATCCAATCATCCTGCTCCAGCTTACCACATTTTCAGGTAGTGCCTTGGCATTCTACTAATGTACTATCCTGGAGTGGACTCACAGGTTTCTGTTGCCTATGTAATTAGACAATAACCAGGTCTCTGCTGCGTTCTACTCTGTTGCCTCGTTTGGTGTTGAAAATTGTGTCGGAGTGGATGACTGACTAGATTCAATGTATGTTAAAGAAGAAATGGATACCAACTTCAAAATTTGTCTGTTGAAATTCGAAGAATGGATTGATCATGAAGGAAACAAATCTGTCTCGGTCCTACTATTTTTTGTGAGATAAGAAGGGTTAAGTTCTTTTCATGACTAATCAATCTTCAACCTTCAACTACACAACATTTGGAAGTTGACTTCCATTTCGTCTTTCAACATATATTAAATTTAGTGAGTTATCCAATCCAATCCATTCGTTGACACCAGAGACCTATTTTCAACCCCTGCCCATTCAGGGCTTTCACCCCTTGTACCATCTTCTTAGTTGTGTCATTTTAAATCATATTTTCTCAAGTCATAGATTTTCAGGCACTAGCGTTCTGCCTTAGTAAGTCCTTCACTCAACTCTCACTACATTTTTGTTATTTTTGAAGTCTTCTTGATTGTTGTCTTCTTTTTCTTCAAAGAGTGAAAGTTCATAAGCGCTTTTGCTCATAAGTACTTTTGTTATACGTATAATATCTATTTTAGTTGTTTGGGGCCACCCAACATTTAAAAACTGATAACGAATTGATCGGCAGTTGAGCCGAATCGGCCATTGACATGCAGTCTACCATTCTACTGTAATTAGTCATTTCTCCTTGCAAATCATAGTTCTACGAGTATGCATGAATACGTAATTTCTGTAAGAAGGCCAAGAGTTAAAGTTGGTACGTGTGGTTTTTTACTTGATGGTCATTTTAGGTAATCAATCTCACTTGAATCATGAATTGGAACAACGCAATGCCAAACAACTTTATTGTCTCCAATTTTGTTCATAAAATAGTGTTTTATCGCATTCTTCCAACTTATTAAGTGAGATATGATATGAAAAGGTCATACCCCTGAACGTGAAGCATGAGAAGAAATACATTAAAATACTTTGTTACTTTATTCATCCTCTGGGGTTTGTAATATATACACAGGCCTTACTCTCCATGAATCTAATTACAATGATAAGGAAACTAAATCCTAAAAATTACAACTAATTACAAATCCTATTTCAACCAAACATGGGGCTCCTAGAATATTTATAATATAATCAATACTCCCATTCAAGTTGGTGCATAGATATAGGACATGCCCAACTTGCTAAGTAAGTCTAGAAAAAAAACTTTACTCGATACTCCATGAGTAAGAACAACAGCCAACTGTTTCCCTGAATTTACAAATGGTATAGATGCAATCTTCCTTTTGTGATTCTCCTTAACAAAGTGTTATGAACCTCCACATGCTTTGTTCTATCATGTTGTTCTGATTATATGCTATTTCTCTTGTAGACTTATTGTCACAACATAATTTCATAGCTTCCTTTGGTTTGAAACTAAGACAACTCAAAAACTTACATAACCAAAGGAGCTCACATATTTCTTGTGCCATACCCTATACTCAGCTTTAGCAGATTGTCTTACCACCACTTTCTATTTCTTACCACACCATGTAACCAAGTTCCCTCCAACAAACGTAAAGTATCCCTCAACTTTTAGGTGCCCATGTCTTCCATACAATATTCCCTTACCAGGTGGCAGGTGCAAACTTCAGATATGCCAAAATCCACATTATAGCAGCCATGTGACATAAGCTGACTCACAACATATGCAAAATCAGGATGAGTGCGAGCTAGATAAATTAATCTACCCACAAGTCTTTGATATTTACCCTTATTAACAGGAACCTAATTAGGGTAAATACATAATAATTACGTAAATAATGCTTTTCTGTATAGGAGTGTCAACATGTTTACACTCTAACATACCAATTTCTCTCAACAAATCCAACACCTATTTTCGTTGAGACAAGAAAATACCTTCAGTTGAACGGGCGACCTCAACCCCAAGAAAGTACTTCAACTCTCCCAAATCTTTCATCTTAAATTCAAATGCAAGATTAGTTGTAACTTTTGAATTCTTTTGAATCATCTCCTGTAATAATCATATCATCCACATAAACAATTGAAGTAGTCAATTTTCCAAGCCTACGCTTTAGAAAAAAGTGTGATATGAATGACTTTGGCGATACCCATACTCCTTCATTACTTAAAGTAAACCTGTCAAACCAAGCACAGGGCAATTGCTTGAGTCCGTAAAGAGACTTACGCAATATGCACACCCCGGTATTACCCCTCGCACCATATCCTGGTGGAAAGACCATATAAACTTGGTCTTCCAAGTCCCTATGAAGGAGTGCATTCTTCACATCAAATTGCTTAAGAGGCCAATCCATATTTGCAGTTAAGGAAATCAAAACACGTACTGTATTCATCTTTGCGACTGGAGAAAAAGTTTCTTGGTAATCTACAACATACATTTGAGTGTACCCCTTAGCTATTAACCTTGCTTTGTACCAGAGAAAAAGTTTCTTGGTAATCTCCCAGGTTCTATTTTTCTGTAAAGCAGACATCTCTGCATCCATAGCTTTATCCACTTAGGGTCTCGTTGAGCTTCTTCAACCTGAGTTGGAATTTTAATTGATTCCATATGACATTGTCCTACGTTCTGTAAACAGTGCTTACATGATACGCAATTAGAAATTGGATACTTCACATTTCCTTCCAGAGAGAGCCTGTTAGGTGGCACATCACGATTTTGTCTCACTGGCAATTTATACGTGCTCATAATATTAGGATTAGTTGTATTATCATTTAGAACTCTTAGATATTCAGAGGAGATGGAACAGACACTACAGGATTGGAGAGAGGGAGAGGTTACTACAGACATACTGGGCGATTTGGCACATTAATGCTGAAAAACACTATTTTGTTCGGTAGAGGCCTGCTGAACAAAACTGAACTCTTCAATAGAATCTTGCCAAACTAGGCTAGATACCTCGATAGAGGCCTGTTGAACTATGTTGGTATGTTCAATAAAGACTAGCCGATTTGGGGTAGATTTCTCGGTAGGTTCCTGCCAAAAAAGACTGGTATTTTCGGCAGGTTTCTACCGAACTAGGTCAAGCTATCCTTTGAAGAACAATATAACCAACGTAGATCATCCAAGTCATCATTGTCCCCTAGTGATCAAAGTTGGATAGAGAAAAAGCATAAAACCATTCAAACGTGGAACATGTAACATCCATTGTAACATATACATATGTAGAGTGGCGGGTGATAACACTTGAATCCTTTCTGCTGAGTTGCAAAACCCAAACAAAAACACACTGAAGATGAATCAAGTTTGCTACGATGAGCTTTCTGAATGTGAACATAAACCACATGACCAAAGATTCGAGGTGACAAGGTATTTGCAAAAACCAATGGAACATGTTAAGTAAGCTTCTAAAGTGATGTTCAATAATTTAAGACTCGAGAAGACATACGGTTCATAACATAAATTACATATACAACTGCTTCAAGCCATAAGCATTTGGGAGCAGATGCACCAATAAGCAAAGCACAAGCTATCTCCAAGATATGACGATTCTTCCTTTTCGCTATCCCATTGGTTTGTGGGGTATGAAGATAGGTAGTTTCATGAACAATTCCATGACCTTGTAAAAACTAGGATAACTTAGAATTTATATACTCTACACCATTGTCATAACGCAAAACTTTAATATTAGAGGAATACTGAGTTTTAACCATCTGATGAAACATATTAAACAAATCATAAACCTCACTTTTATTTTTCAATACATACAACTACATCATACCGGTGCAATTATCCACAAAAGTAAAAAACCACTTGATTCCCAAATGAGTACTAACAGGGGAAGACCTTCACACATCAGAGTGTACTAGCGCAAACGAAAAATACCTTTTATTCACACTTGAAGAGATTGAAGCACAATAACTTTTGGCTAAAATACATACTTCACACTTCTACTTGGAGTTTTTAATACCAATGAACAAACTAGGTAACATATGCTTCATATAACCAAAAGATGCATGCCCCAAACAACTTGATGAAGAGACTTAAAGGCCATCCCCTTTGGTGGCTTTGGAGAATCAATTCAAGGAGACAATGTTGAAGATGAAGGTATTGGAGTGCAAAGCAAAAGCAAGAAGATTGGAAGGTCTTTCCTTAAAGGTGATAACTTTGGTTTTGGAACCAAAGAGACTTCAAGGGGAATCATATCATCCTTAAAGTTTTGTTTACAACAAAATATTGTTCATAAACCCTTAGGCTTTAAAGATTTTTGTAAAAGGATTTTTTATTTTGAATATATGCATATCTAGCATTCACATTTAATTTGATTTTAAGCATGAGTTATTCCATAAATTTTATAATTTCACAACATTCTTTCTTCAGGTGTGATAAGGGAACAAAATATGGTTCATAAACCCTTAGGCCTTAAAG